TTCTAAATGCCAGAGACGATTTCGATTGGTTTACGTTTTGGATGTGCCTGTTTAGGCACATCTGTCGACTTCCAGAACTCCTTCGATGATCATAGTGCGCGTTTTATGCCGTGATGGAAGCGTTGGGATTGCTCGACTCAGTTGTTGCAGTTGCTCTCTGATCTCTTTGAGTTGTTCTTCAGTGTCCCTAGGCTGTTGTTGAAGTTCTTTCATTGCCTGAAATTGATGTGTTGTTTTTTTATTGATAGAACGTTTTTTACGCCGTCACCCCTGATTGTACGTTTAAGAACTTCCTAAGTGTGTGTATCATATATGTACATATATGCGTTTTTTTTTGAATACCACCACTTTATTGCGTCAAGCGCACAACGTAAACTTGGGTAATTAACCAAAACTAGTTCTACTCGTACCACATTAGAGGCGACGGCAAGCCAATATAGTAGTGTACAGGCAAGAACGAGAGTTTATGGCATAAGGTGTTTAGTACAAGATTAACGTATGAAGTAACTGACAACATGAGGATATCATGAGAATAAGTCACTGACGACATGAGCATTTGTAACTGAAGAAGGAGACTAAGGTCAGGAGCGTGTAACAGAGAGTTAAATTGGCGAGGCAGCTCTTTTATTGGATTGTGGCAGCTCTTTTATTGGGATGGCAGTCGCACGTGCACAGTCCTCGGCCAGCAACAAAGGCTCTTTGTGCGGTGTTTTCGCCATGTGCGCTCTGGAAGCTGAAATCAAGTCACTTTCGCATAATATGAGTCATAGTCTTCACTGATGAAAATAATGAGGAAATTACAAAATCATGTGTTACCCGCGGTAGTGCTGAAGGTTCGTATGATGGTCGTTGTCACTGTTGTCATTATTGTTGTTGCTGCTTCATCATCACGTTGTCGCGGCTTTGTCACATTGTCACGTCGTCCTCATCCCCGGTTCTATTCTCCCAGACCGTCTGCTACTGCTGGCGTTATATCTATTTGTGTACAATTTATTCATTTCTTTTCGTGGTCTACTTCTCAATATCTGACGGATGACTACTCACACCTTACCGTTCAATATTGATTGAACAATGAAAAAAAACACACACACAACATGAAAGGTTTAATATTTTTGGATGTGATCGGTGAAGAGGTTGTTAATTACACAAGAGTAGTAGTAATGATAGTGTTAATAATAAT